CGCCATGACGCGATGGCGGTACCGATGCCATTGCTTGTTCGATACACATCCGTACCAGCTATCAGCTCCATACTCGTAAAGTCTGACTTTGTAGACCCGTCGTTGAGACTATTAACTTGGTCGTCAACTCCAAAACCTATTTTAAACGTCGTATGTCGTTTTGCGCTTCGATACGGCTGTGGCAATATCGGTGCGCATGCTGCTCAAAAGAGCTATAGTCGTCAAACATTGGGAGCTGTGGTGACGGACGTAAGCTCATCAGTATCTCGATCTCTGCTCAGCTTGTTCACGCACTGTAAGTAACACAAAGGTCTTTTACGCGGAGGCTTTTACTGGTGGTCATCTTTTTTTGCAGCTTTTGGAAATGTAAAGAAAGGGAAGAAAACGTGCAATGTGAACTAACATACGCAGTGCACTCGTCTGTCCGACTGTCCATCTGTCCACCTGTCCTTCCGTCCGACCGACCGACTGACCGTCAATATGATTGTCGCTCAGTCTTGCTCGCTTGTCTTTTTATTGCTTTTTGCCGACGTGCTCCTGCTATCGTGTGCTGTACCCATTCGGAAGGTGTTCAACGGTCTCTGCTCGAGCTACAGTATCCAAGACTTGCAAGTTGACCAACACGACGCAAGAAACACAAACAACGTGACACTTCAAACAAGCAGCAACATTGTTTTGAACTCTATGGCTACGCGTACTATCGACAACGACAGCCACGACAAACACGACCAACACCGATCACCCGCGCAGTGCCCCCGCGCCGCGCTGCACCAGCGAAGCAGCCTGTTGGGCTGCGGTTGTCACACTCCCGTCCGTTGCGTACATCATGTGCGCCATCGTGTTGAAGCCGCCGCCGCATACCGGGTCGCCTTCGTTGCAAAACTCCACCGCCTTGGTTCCGTACGACATACTCGTGCCATCGATCGACTGACCCGTGAGCTTCAGAGGGTTGCCGAACGTGACAATCGCCTTGATTCGAGGCGCTAAGGTCTCTGGTATGACGTCTCCAGACCCGAGCATCGTTTGGATTCCGATAGCGATGGATGTGACGCTTGCTCCTTGCGAGTAGCCACCGAGCACGAAGACGGTATTGGGACATTCTTGAGCAACCATCACGACATGGTTCGTCATGTCGGTGGCACCAGGACCAGCACTGCTTTGGTCCATTGATGCGAGGTAGTTTACTGCATAGGATGTGACACTCATGCCAGCGAGGTTCTGGGTGATACCGCTCACGAGGGGCTCGCCACAGATTCCAAGGCCCGGCATTTCACTGCTCCCGCGAGCGAAAACGATGTGGACGTCGGAGCATTGGGCTTGAGCGAGATCCATTGATTCGGCAGCGAGGAGGAGGAGAAGAGAACCGATGGTTGTGCACGCCCGAGAGAATTTCATGATCGTGCAGGTGGGTCAATTCAGCTTGTGTAGGAAGAGTAAACTTGAGGAATGACCAAATCGATGCGTGCCATGGCGCCAAGAATTTACTGTAGAGTACGGTGTCGGATGAATGCGAGAGAGTACCAGGCGAGGCGGTAATCTGTTGGACGAACGGACACGCGACCCGCAACCTCGATGATCTTCTCGAACAGCTGTTACAGACGTCACACTGAGGCATTGCCACGATCACGATCATCACTCACTGCTTTGATGTGACTATGTTTCAATCGCTGTGTGTTTCACGAGTCGGGATGTGCTTTTTCGTCGGCCATCCTCGAGGCAGAGGCGACCATCTGATAGTGCACAACGCCGCTTGACTCCATGGCCGCTCTGACCACGGAAGCCACCGTCTCAAGCCAAGCTGGAAGTTTCCACTTGCTTCTCTTCGTTTGGTGTGCGTAAAAAAAAAAAATGGTAGACTGTCACCGTTTTTCGATGTTGCCGCATGCCGCTGCAGACGAGCTGAAGAACAGAGCGGTGTGAGCGTTGATAGACGCCGGCCCCTTTACCTTGCGGTACATGCGTTTTGTGCTCCTTCGACAGCAGCTATAACTAACACCAGCATTCTCCGCGGTAACAAATGAATGCCCACCGTGTTCGCTTGCGCAGAAACCTCATTCAGCAACGCTTTCAGACAAGGTTTTCGTTTCTACGCAATCAGTTGTCAAACGTGTAGAAAGCAGGCAGATTTAGACGCCATGACGCGATGGCGGTACCGATGCCATTGCTTGTTCGATACACATCCGTACCAGCTATCAGCTCCATACTCGTAAAGTCTGACTTTGTAGACCCGTCGTTGAGACTATTAACTTGGTCGTCAACTCCAAAACCTATTTTAAACGTCGTATGTCGTTTTGCGCTTCGATACGGCTGTGGCAATATCGGTGCGCATGCTGCTCAAAAGAGCTATAGTCGTCAAACATTGGGAGCTGTGGTGACGGACGTAAGCTCATCAGTATCTCGATCTCTGCTCAGCTTGTTCACGCACTGTAAGTAACACAAAGGTCTTTTACGCGGAGGCTTTTACTGGTGGTCATCTTTTTTTGCAGCTTTTGGAAATGTAAAGAAAGGGAAGAAAACGTGCAATGTGAACTAACATACGCAGTGCACTCGTCTGTCCGACTGTCCATCTGTCCACCTGTCCTTCCGTCCGACCGACCGACTGACCGTCAATATGATCGTCGCTCAGTCTTGCTCGCTTGTCTTTTTATTGCTTTTTGCCGACGTGCTCCTGCTATCGTGTGCTGTACCCATTCGGAAGGTGTTCAACGGTCTCTGCTCGAGCTACAGTATCCAAGACTTGCAAGTTGACCAACACGACGCAAGAAACACAAACAACGTGACACTTCAAACAAGCAGCAACATTGTTTTGAACTCTTTGGCTACGCATACTATCGACAACGACAGCCACGACAAACACGACCAACACCGATCACCCGCGCAGTGCCCCCGCGCCGCGCTGCACCAGCGAAGCAGCCTGTTGGGCTGCGGTTGTCACACTCCCGTCCGTTGCGTACATCATGTGCGCCATCGTGTTGAAGCCGCCGCCGCATACCGGGTCGCCTTCGTTGCAAAACTCCACCGCCTTGGTTCCGTACGACATACTCGTGCCATCGATCGACTGACCCGTGAGCTTCAGAGGGTTGCCGAACGTGACAATCGCCTTGATTCGAGGCGCTAAGGTCTCTGGTATGACGTCTCCAGACCCGAGCATCGTTTGGATTCCGATAGCGATGGATGTGACGCTTGCTCCTTGCGAGTAGCCACCGAGCACGAAGACGGTATTGGGACATTCTTGAGCAACCATCACGACATGGTTCGTCATGTCGGTGGCACCAGGACCAGCACTGCTTTGGTCCATTGATGCGAGGTAGTTTACTGCATAGGATGTGACACTCATGCCAGCGAGGTTCTGGGTGATACCGCTCACGAGGGGCTCGCCACAGATTCCAAGGCCCGGCATTTCACTGCTCCCGCGAGCGAAAACGATGTGGACGTCGGAGCATTGGGCTTGAGCGAGATCCATTGATTCGGCAGCGAGGAGGAGGAGAAGAGAACCGATGGTTGTGCACGCCCGAGAGAATTTCATGATCGTGCAGGTGGGTCAATTCAGCTTGTGTAGGAAGAGTAAACTTGAGGAATGACCAAATCGATGCGTGCCATGGCGCCAAGAATTTACTGTAGAGTACGGTGTCGGATGAATGCGAGAGAGTACCAGGCGAGGCGGTAATCTGTTGGACGAACGGACACGCGACCCGCAACCTCGATGATCTTCTCGAACAGCTGTTACAGACGTCACACTGAGGCATTGCCACGATCACGATCATCACTCACTGCTTTGATGTGACTATGTTTCAATCGCTGTGTGTTTCACGAGTCGGGATGTGCTTTTTCGTCGGCCATCCTCGAGGCAGAGGCGACCATCTGATAGTGCACAACGCCGCTTGACTCCATGGCCGCTCTGACCACGGAAGCCACCGTCTCAAGCCAAGCTGGAAGTTTCCACTTGCTTCTCTTCGTTTGGTGTGCGTAAAAAAAAAAAATGGTAGACTGTCACCGTTTTTCGATGTTGCCGCATGCCGCTGCAGACGAGCTGAAGAACAGAGCGGTGTGAGCGTTGATAGACGCCGGCCCCTTTACCTTGCGGTACATGCGTTTTGTGCTCCTTCGACAGCAGCTATAACTAACACCAGCATTCTCCGCGGTAACAAATGAATGCCCACCGTGTTCGCTTGCGCAGAAACCTCATTCAGCAACGCTTTCAGACAAGGTTTTCGTTTCAACGCAATCAGTTGTCAAACGTGTAGAAAGCAGGCAGATTTAGACGCCATGACGCGATGGCGGTACCGATGCCATTGCTTGTTCGATACACATCCGTACCAGCTATCAGCTCCATACTCGTAAAGTCTGACTTTGTAGACCCGTCGTTGAGACTATTAACTTGGTCGTCAACTCCAAAACCTATTTTAAACGTCGTATGTCGTTTTGCGCTTCGATACGGCTGTGGCAATATCGGTGCGCATGCTGCTCAAAAGAGCTATAGTCGTCAAACATTGGGAGCTGTGGTGACGGACGTAAGCTCATCAGTATCTCGATCTCTGCTCAGCTTGTTCACGCACTGTAAGTAACACAAAGGTCTTTTACGCGGAGGCTTTTACTGGTGGTCATCTTTTTTTGCAGCTTTTGGAAATGTAAAGAAAGGGAAGAAAACGTGCAATGTGAACTAACATACGCAGTGCACTCGTCTGTCCGACTGTCCATCTGTCCACCTGTCCTTCCGTCCGACCGACCGACTGACCGTCAATATGATTGTCGCTCAGTCTTGCTCGCTTGTCTTTTTATTGCTTTTTGCCGACGTGCTCCTGCTATCGTGTGCTGTACCCATTCGGAAGGTGTTCAACGGTCTCTGCTCGAGCTACAGTATCCAAGACTTGCAAGTTGACCAACACGACGCAAGAAACACAAACAACGTGACACTTCAAACAAGCAGCAACATTGTTTTGAACTCTTTGGCTACGCATACTATCGACAACGACAGCCACGACAAACACGACCAGCACCGATCACCCGCGCAGTGCCCCCGCGCCGCGCTGCACCAGCGAAGCAGCCTGTTGGGCTGCGGTTGTCACACTCCCGTCCGTTGCGTACATCATGTGCGCCATCGTGTTGAAGCCGCCGCCGCATACCGGGTCGCCTTCGTTGCAAAACTCCACCGCCTTGGTTCCGTACGACATACTCGTGCCATCGATCGACTGACCCGTGAGCTTCAGAGGGTTGCCGAACGTGACAATCGCCTTGATTCGAGGCGCCAAGGTCTCTGGTATGACGTCTCCAGACCCGAGCATCGTTTGGATTCCGATAGCGATGGATGTGACGCTTGCTCCTTGCGAGTAGCCACCGAGCACGAAGACGGTATTGGGACATTCTTGAGCCACCATCACGACATGGTTCGTCATGTCGGTGGCACCAGGACCAGCACTGCTTTGGTCCATTGATGCGAGGTAGTTTACTGCATAGGATGTGACACTCATGCCGGCGAGGTTCTGGGTGATGCCGCTCACGAGGGGCTCGCCACAGATACCAAGGCCTGGCATTTCACTGCTCCCGCGAGCGAAAACGATGTGGACGTCGGAGCATTGGGCTTGAACGAGATCCATTGATTCGGCAGCGAGGACGAGGAGAAGAGAACCGATGGTTGTGCACGCCCGAGAGAATTTCATGATCGTGCAGGTGGGTCAATTCAGCTTGTGCAGGAAGTGTAAACTTGAGGAATGACCAAATCGATGCGTGCCGTGGCGCCAAGTATTTACTGTAGAGTACGGTGTCGGATGAATGCGAGAGAGTACCAGGCGAGGCGGTAATCTGTTGGACGAACGGACACGCGACCCGCAACCTCGATGATCTTCTCAAACAGCTGCTATAAACGTCACACTGAGGCATTACCACGATCACGATCATCACTCACTGCTTTGATGTGACTATGTTTCAATAGCTGTGTGTTTCACGAGTCGGGATATGCTTTTTCCCTTGGCCATCCTCAAGCCAGAAGCGACCATCTGATGGTGCACAACGCCGCTTGACTCCATGGCTGCTCTGACCACGGAAGCCACCGTCTCAAGCCAAGCTGGAAGTTTCCATTTTCTTCTCTTCGTTTGGTGTGCGTAAAGGTGGTAGACTGTCGCCGTGCTTCGATGATGCCGCATGCCGCTGCAGACGAGCTGAAGAACAGAGCGGTGTGAGCGTTGATAGACGCCGGCTCCTTTACCTTGCGGTACATGCGTTTTGTGCTCCTTCGACAGCAGCTATAACTAACACCAGCATTCTCCGCGGTAACAAATGAATGCCCACCGTGTTCGCTTGCACAGAAACCTCATTCAGCAACGCTTTCAGACAAGGTTTTCGTTTCAACGCAATCAGTTGTCATGCGTGAAGAAAGCAGGCAGATTTAGACGCCATGACGCGATGGCGGTACCGATGCCATTGCTTGTTCGATACAGATCCGTACCAGCTATCAGCTCCATACTCGTAGAGCCTGATTTCGTAGACCCGTCGTTGAGACTATTAACTTGGTCGTCAACTCCAAAACCTATTTTAAACGTCGTATGTCGTTTTGCGCTTCGATACGGCTGTGGTAATATCGATGCGCATACTGCTCAAAAGAGCTTTGGTCGTCAAACATTGGAAGCTGTGGTGACGGACGTAAACTCATCAGTATCTCGATCTCTGCTCAGCTTGTTCACGCACTGTAAGTAACGCGAAGGGCTTTTACGTGGAGGCCTTTACTGGTGGTCATCTTTTTTTGCAGCTTTTGGAAATGTACAGAAAGGGAAGAAAACGTGCTATGTGAACTTACATACGCTGTGCACTTGTCTTGTCTATCCTCCCGAACGGCTGATGAGATAGAGGTTCAGATTGTCTTTTTACATGTCAATAACATGTTGAGCTAACTATAGCCTTTTTGCTAAGCCCAGGGGCATGGTGTTTGCGCCAGTGTATCTGGGGAGTGTTGGAGCCGTACACCGTAAAATGGTAATTCTTTTGGGGCGAGCTCGTGCAACACGCTACATACAGTAAGCATAGCACTATTTGTGGCGGACGCTACATTTTGATGCTCTCCCCCTTTTTTTAGGTACATCACAGTCATTTAGCTACAGTGTTCTAACGACCCGAAGATTTCCGTCCAGCGCATGCCTACACATCCGTTGCTGCTGTGTGGGCTATATATGTAAGATGCCGACAAACGAACTCCGCGAGCAGGTGCCGTTTAAGGTGTCATGGTCTTCAGTCCCAAGGTCGTCTACCTTTGGACTTGCGTAATCTTGCCATTGACCTAAGTCTTTAACCATGTGGGACGTAATTGCCGTCCGTGCTGCTAAAAATATAGACACTGTGGCCTGATGTACTTGTATGCTTGTTGTAGTATCCATCGCTCGGTTTGCTAAGCCATCAGACTTTCCATTGAAATGGCACAGATGATGGGCCCATGTGGCTAAGTGCATTCGATCTGCCATCGCTACTCATTATCGGTAAATGTCCTAGAGATGTCCGGTGAGGGGCGTCCAGTTGCGCATCTGTCGAATAATGAGGTTGCTGGCTCCGACAACATGAACGGACCGAAGCTTGTATTCGGTGGTCTATCGAAGACCGAAGAGCAGCCCCTTAAGTACCGCCACGTTATTCGTGGTGCATGCACTCGCTAGTGACACACTTGCCATCCAGTAAATGGTAGCTCTGCCGTTATATCATCCCACGTCACAATGGCTGATCCAGCCCCCCTCCTGGACCAGGATTGCCGCAGGTACATTCATAAACAGGACGTATGTGTCCCTTAAGCTGGCACTAATATGTGCAGGTAAAGACCTTTCCGTCGGATCGGCACACGTAAGATGCGCATCTATCCTACGTTTTACGTCTGTCGCCTAAAGCAGTACTATCAGTTCGAGAATTTTCTGGAGAAGAAAGACCTTGTTCCCAACCACCTCCAACATATACTTTTGTTTGCGATACTGGCTCTCAGCCATGTCTGAAGTTCGAATATCTTCCCGTGAAGCCGAGAGATATCCTGACGAGCTTTCATCAGCTCTTCGCATAGAACGCTGTTCCCGCTCATTCGCTAGCTGGGTAGAGGCATGCCATGCCCTGTTCTTTTCCCGATCTGAGCTCTGACGGTTCACATTGCCAAAAGAACCAAGTCGCCTGCCTCTCTCGTGTTCGAGAATCATCGCGCAACTCACACGTTAAGTGGTCGAGCTGACTCACAGCATCAGATTGGTACGACAGATTCATTAAAAATGTGTTCCCTCCTCCACCTCATCGGTTGTCTGGTACTCGCGGTGGTCAACGCATTTTCGTGGAACGACTGTTGAATCATCGTGATTTGAAAGGACGTCGGACGAGTTACTTGTCCGGTGGCGCGGCTTTTCACCCTCGGCGTATATTTGGGTGCCTCGCTCGCAATTGATGATGGATGTGCTGAGCCTTGTCCAGCTGTACGACAAGGCACATACGATGCTCAGGAAGGCATTTCTGAGAGCGAACGCTCAGCAAGTGCAGAGGAATTGAAAATCTTCGCACAAACTCCGACGAGACACGAGCCCTCCAACAGTGTTTGGTCATTGGGTAAGCTTCGTTTGAAGCTTGTACCAATTTGTTTTACAACATTGGCACGCATCACCCAAGGAGAGGCATGGCAACCCAAACTACCTGAGTAGCCGATGCAGTTTGTAACAAGCACGTTAAAATTCCGCTTCTCGAAATGATGCGGGACACGGCCAGCTTGTCAAGCCAGGCTTCGCGTATAACCTCCCCAACATTGTGAATGAACGCGTTCCACTCTTGGAATAGCGAGGCATTATCTCCTATCTTGTTCTTGCTGTAATATCGTTTTTTGAAGAATGCCTTGATGTTGGAGTCATTCATAGTGCTAAAGTCACTCGCACTAGAGTCAGGGCCACGAAGCCTTGATAAATTGAACAGTCTTGTTCTTATACGACCTCTTAACGTGTCATGCAATCGATCCGAAACTCGCTAACGAGCCGATCACGCCTTCTTCTCTGGAGAAACGCGCAAAACGCCGAGGTCTCTGGCTTATTTCGCGGTGTAAATAGAATTAACGACAATTACATTCAGCACGATCTTCTTGATTGTGACGCATTACTGCATCGCCGTCATCTTAGTTAAACTGGGTTTTTTGTCACCACCTCGATTACTCTCGAGCAAATAACTCCACCTTGGAGACAGAATGTCCGACTCATTGGATGATAGAAAGAAATCACGACACTCAGAGAGGATCATTGCAATTCGCGAGTACGATTTGCTCGGCTCAGTCGCAGCCACTATGGCTCTGTCTTTGCGTCTGTCTTTGTCGAGTCTGTATCACCATCCGACTTGCCAGAGTACAAGCGCTCAATACGGTAATCTTCAAGGCCACGCGGTACATCACCGCGTGAGCCCACAGCAGCGACTGCTGCAGGCTGAGTCGTGAAAGCAGCAGGCAGGTCGTCTCCTGATTCACCAAAAACCTTCAATTCAAATTCCGCAGCAAATCGTAATCTCATAGCTAAACTCCCAGCAGATTGGCTGCGCGCCACGTGAACTTTTTGACCATGCGTGAGATCAGGGGAATAGTTGAAATTGATTAACAGGTGATCCCCTTCCCAGAGTCACTTAAAAATCTCACCCGTTCATCATTAGGTCACTAATGTGACTGAGATAAAAAAGAAGGCGATGTATTGGGGTGCCTCCGCTACATGATATTTTGCATACGGTAATTATCAAGTACGAATATTATGTTAGGACAAGCATAGAATTTTCATTATATTATCCTGATTGACAATAATGCTTCGCAGATGCAACACACTGCTCATTGGTTGACACAGGACCAAATTGCTAACCACTTATATCTAGCCATGACAGAAGCACGCAATGAGTGGTACACATGTAGTTACAATACACGTTTGTATATAGACATAGCTAAATGAAGTCGAATAGGGATTTTTTAAAAGGAATAAACATACTAACTACAGTCATACTGTTTACCTTAACTAATTATTTTTACCTCGTGTAGCAATCTTCCTCTGCACGAACGTGTACGTGATGTATTTGTACGCTCACACCCTGGAACTATCAGCAGTTCAAAGTTTATTCAGTTAGCTACTTAAGGTGTGCCCCATTACATATAGCTTTCATTTTGCGCGCTTTAAACACTACCACATCGTCTTGTTCATGGTGATATTTAAAGACGTAGCAGCTTGTAGATTATCGCCTTTGCCATTGAATTTTCGTCCTTTCTTTACACTGCAAAGCTTGGTCGTGGTAGAATCCAAATGGGCCTCAGGTTGATTTTCAAGGCTTCTTATCAATCCGACACCTATAACCTCGTGTCACTAAATCTCCAAAAATGATGTTTTAAATTAAGCGCTTGATATTGGTTCGACATCGCTCCTTCTGTCGATAGAAGTAAAATGCTGTACTCTAACAGCCACGAAAATTTTGCTAGTGGACTTACATTGAAATTCTGAGGATCTGGCACGCTCAGGTATACGTTGAAGTCACGAATGCTGTTTGTGATACAATTTGCGGCTCCAATCGCAGCCTTAATTTGTCGAGTAATGGAGCGCGTATTCTTTCGGTAAAATATTGAGCTCACCTTATGTGCCCGCTGCAATAAATTGTTGTCAAAGAAGCTTCTCTGCCAGAAGGAGTAAAAAAAGTATGCACGAAGATACGTAATACGTGACGCGATTTTTTACTAATGTCAGGATATACGATTGGCAACGCGCGATGTGGCGATTACGAATGGAAAATCAATATAACTAGTAGGCTTTTAGATTAATAAAGGCTGCGACCTAAGTGCCTGTTGCATTTTGCCATTTAGTGCTTCATTTCCCTTGAACTGGATTACGCTAATTTACCGAACTCAGTTTAAGTATGTACTGTTTATTTTTAGGCGTAGAGCCTAAATGATAGTACACCATCATATGCACAGCAAATTTTATCGTGATCACACGTTTTCAAGTCGTGATTTTTAGGTTAAAACGCGCCATAGTACCTCTTGATGTACCATGTCGCCGCTTGATCATCTTTATCGATTCTTGTCACACTGATACATTTCGGATCATTTGAGCCTTCCCATGCTCGCGTGCACCTATGCATTTTTGTATCCTGTACATCGCATTTATATCGCAGATTGAGGGTTACAGCACTAGCCATATCCTAAACTGTCTCGGCGCTAAATTTAACACGTGTCGTTTACAAAAAGCTGATTTGTTACATCGAAGGGTAATAGTACCTAAGATAGAAGAGAAAGTTTCGCGTTGAGTGTAAAAGAAATCTAAAGTAGCAATCCACTAGCAAATCGCTATGAATTCGTAGCGAGTCACTATGCATACTGTGACTCTGCTTAACCAGACTTCAGTACGTCGTATAGATTTTTGTTTGTGCATTATTAGCTGCACCTTACTACATAGTATTCGCGCCATGGGTTCAGTACCTTAGAAAATGTGTTCGACTCTTGAAAACTTGAATCCAGATGCTAGCTGCTTATTTTACCGAAAGCGTGATACTAGTGTGTAGAAAAAACAATTTAATTGCAATTAAATTACTTCCATTAGACTAATTTGGAAAAAAATTATCTGGAGTAAATTCCTTTCTTTGCCAAGAATACACATTGCTTATATCAATCGTGACGACGATCTGATACACATAAATTTGTCAATGTAACACAATCCTTCGTAACATACCCCAACATCAGTCTTTGTTACCAGTTCTTCGATATCCTTACATTATAACCGGACCGCACGCTTAAGAGTAGCAAAAAAGATGCTTGTAGTCTCTGATGTCAATAACAATTAATCCATATCCGGGTGACGTGGAGTGGTAGATGAGTAATAATCTTGATTGCTATACATTTGGAGGACAGCCCATATTTTTTTACCTCGATCTAGTTAATACTAGAGGCAGTCCAGTCTATTCACAAGACATTTCTGGCGGTGACGTCGTCAGCTCGCAGATGTCTGAAATACCCGTAGCTTGATGACTCGATCATGAACGAGATGCCAGACCATCAACAAACTACACGATCCAGCGGCTCATGATACACAGCAAGTCATTATTTCATCTAGGAGAAAAGCGCTTTTTTGCATGTAAGAGGATGAAATAATGCCTGTGGATTAATACATTCTGAATCATTATGCTAATCTTACTTAATGGTCGTGGTATAGTGTAGATGTTGATGGATATTGACAGAAACATACTCATGTCGAATTGTTGATCTCACAGATGAAGTAATCTAACAACGTAAAGTAATCTAAGATAGATCAAGGTTACTCATGACCAATTAGGTAATAAACTATATAATGCTGAGTTATAGAAACCGATCTAAGTGGTGGGTATGCGAACAGGCCGTTGGTATTCCGATTGAAGGCGGGACACATGTCACGATTTACTTGCGAATTAAATGGAGCAACGACTGCTTGCTCTAAAACTGGATGCAGACAACAGATCGACATGAGACCAATATACAATATGTCGATAAGGGCCTGTCAGATCGGATATGCACTTCACAAAGGGTGGATGTTGGCATGATAAAGCCGTCGATTGCTATCATTCCGCATCCAGAGGAACATCGATGGCGTCCAAATAAATAAGCATAAACTATTCAGTACAAGGCCCACAAAAAGATGTCGTCAACTTTCATTCGGTTGTTGCTTTCGATATTCATAGTTTTGTCCTCGATAGGGTATTTTGCCTGATATGTGATGTCTGGTTCAACGTAGGCCTTTGACCCGATGTAAAAATTTTGACGACAAGTCAGGTGATTTAATTTATTTGTACAGGATGCTCTTGAAATTGGTACACTAAGCCAATATCGCAGGTTATCTCACAAGTATTCGAGACTTGTCCTTAGGTCGATCTTTTTGGGTACATAGTACGGGAAATTATTGTTACAAGATGTAATTTAGTAAATATAACGATATCCACAGTGTATAATGCAGAATCAAAGGAGCGGTAGCATTTGGGCCGGATGCTACAGAGAGTGTGAATACCTTTTAATCGGCATAAATTACGCTTTTTCTCCTCCAGGCAAGATTTCTTCGGGTTTCCGTTAACTAAGAGTATATGTTCGAGACGAATAGATACTAGATGAATCGACTGGAATCAACGAATACTTGATATCAATACTCGAGGCGATCCGATGCAGAGTAAGTGCTGAACAACTAAGACCAACCAAACTCGCTGAACTTTATGTGGGATCGCAACCTGATCGAAAGGCTGGGGACAGAAAGTGAGGTAGAGAGCAAAAACAAGCGAGATTAAACTTCCTAGAGACTGATGTGGGTGAGAAAGTCAGATTGCAAAGACCGCTATCACTGTTACAATAACCTTATTAAGAATGACACTGGTAAGATTGACCGGTACAACGTCTTATTGCTGCAGACTACTCATATTTACGTTGGATCACCAACAGATAAACTTCATCTTGACGTAGACTAGAATACGACCTTGGATCAAGATCTCACAACTTTTTAGATCGTTTTGTTTTAAAATCCGTGCGGCATCCATCTTGACAGGTCTCAATTCCTTAGAGAGATCGAAACCTTCCAAGGCTGTAACGAAGAGATAAATCCAGCACATACGGGATAAGGTTAACATAATATGTACATGGTAACAAGTGAAACTTAGAACCTCTCTGCAATCGGTAAATCTGGACATCAGACAAGTGAACGATCAGGTGATCAACCCTAAAAATGTCACTTTGCCACACGGGCCACAGTACAAAATGGTTAGCCAGATTCACACAAATAAGCAGAACATTATCAGATTGTAAATATAAGTGCAGCAGGCATCTTCGGATCGCCCTGATTACGATTGTAAGTAGGTTGCGGCACCGGTTCAGATCAATGTGCGACACGTCCATGGGATATGCTCAAGACAAAACTCTGAGCCCGACACTAATGAAAAAAGATGCTGGTCCCTTTACGGACAAATTTAATTGGCGGCTGTGCGATTCTCAATCAATATAATGGCATCATAACAGATCGCAGTTTAAATTTTAACTTTGTGTGAACGTTGTATCGGTACGTGCCACCAATAAGGACGTGTCGCTTGGTGACAGTTCATTTTTTTTGTTGTGCTTGACATGGACAGACCATCATTACATCTCCCGTTTAATATAATGCTTTTTCTAATACACGTTTCGCGACTACCTATTGGGGTTATATCAAGCTACACAATTACGCGACAAATCAATTTTATCATTAACGTTTTAGACGTATATATTATCTACACTGTTCATGACACTTACGGCAGAAAATACATGTGTAGTGTCCAGATACCTTGATTCCGTAGATCATTAATTTCTAATCCGTTTATCACCTCAATTTATTAAAATTTAATGACAAAGTGATACTAGCGAATTTAGACAGATTTAGCATTGTAGATAGACAAGTGGGTTATTCTCTAAAGCCGTTGTTGCTGTAACATTTTCTTGGCGTGTAAACATGTAATGAGGCCATGGTAATGTTGGGTGATATAATAATGCATCGGGTGAGAAGTT